GATTGTCATAAAGATATTTGTTAATCTGTATGTACTAGAGTTGAAATTTCAATAACCAAATGATCAGTATTTTTAGAATAAAGATCATCCTGTAGAGAAATTAACTGGAAAACATTTTAGAATCTGTTCATGTCAATGGATTTGATATGTGTATTTAAAATATTCTAATCACACACTGATGAAATAAACACCATTGTGTTCATTTCAAGTAATAATAAGACACTACCATCCTTTTTGCCTCAGACTGTGCAGCTTTAGATCTCTAATTCTAATGTATATTTATATTCATCCTCTTCACTCTCACATCATTCCTGGTGCATTATCATAACTTCCAAATTGGTTTTCCTGTCCTGATTCTCTCGTATCCTATACTAGATTAATGATGTGAAGTACTCTCTTTATCAGATTACTTCCCTTTCTCAATACTTTTCAACCATGGCCCACATCCTTTTTAACCCAAGATCCCAGTCAAAACAGTGCAGTCTCTCTAACCTAATATATCCATCCCTAAATGGGAAGTTATCTTCCAGTCAGTCTTACTCTTCCTCAAGCATACATTGTATCATCTTATCTTGTTTTCTATACCTAAAATTTTCACTAACCTGCCACTATCAGAATGTCGGGCATTATTTGTCAACTTTCTACTCAACCACCACTTTATCCCTTCTCTGTATAACTAACTATACCCACAAGATGTGGTTCTTCCTTCCTCCTTCCCTGTCTTCCTCTATATTCTAGTAATAATTATTTAATTCATTTTGATTGCTTTTGATTACTTATTGTATATATATATTAGTAGTCCCTTGTATATTGATTGACACATTGTGTTACTTTTATCAGTTTTTACTCAAGCCATGATGTATTTTGAGCTTCCAGTTAACAGGGCATTTTTTGAAAATTTTTGCTACTATGTCTTTTACTCCATCCTTACACACACACACACATACACACACACACACACACACATCTCCTGCCCTTTTCCTCCTCATCTGCATCTTTCAATCCATCTCTCCCTCTCTCTCCCCTTTCTTCCCACTCTTCTCTCTCTCTTCCTCCATATATACAACCACTCATACACAGAGCTACCATACTAGCATTGCTCCTTGTGTGCAGTGAAGTTTTATGATTCTTAAAATGAAATCACATGACACCTTAATAATTTAATGAAGTTCCCACCATGAGTAGCAAGGACTGTAGTTGTTTTATACTGGAGGGATTGGTATTTAATTTTATTCTTTTACTTAAAAAAACCCTACAAATTCCTTGAACTTGAAACACTTTTAAATTCTAGCCACCTGGTAATCTAGCTATTTAATAATTTTCATTTCATGAAGCAGCAGTTATACAGTATTTTCATTAAGATTAGAAACATTTTCTCAGATAATATATGAGAATAGTGAGAATTGAAAGTACATAATCTTCACCAGTTTGCTTTGAACTCAGTATTTTAAGTGTCAGATACTGAAGTGTGCTATATTTTTTTATATTGGTCAACTCCCAAGAGTTGAATAAATATTTGCTCAAATATCTAATCCACAATAATGAAATATAAATGAATTAACTTTATCCTTAATGAGTCTGGTGGACATTTATTCTAATCCACTAACATAGCTTGTTTAGTTAATTTGTACTCCATCCCTCTTTTCCT